CAGGAGAAGAATTTAGTAACTGATTAAATATCAGCTGTGAAAATGCCAAGACAGGATGATGGACGTGACCAGTCAGTCGGATCTCTGATAACAAGCGTGATAGCGGATAGGACAGTTTGTCCATCCTGAAATGATTTCTTGCTTGCATCTGTTAAAGGTTTTGCAGCTCATTCCTAATAAAGTCAGAATTGCTGCTAGTTCTAGGGTCACAGGGTATAAATTATGAACGTGAAAGTGCAGTCAGCAGCAGCGTAACAGCTCCGAATGTAATTTAAATTAGGAATGTTTGACTTTATCGGCTGATTTTTGCATTTAATTGTAATTTCGGAAATGATCTGTGTAATTTTTTACCCTTTAAATGAAACAACCTTTACTCCTTTACATGCACACATCAAACTCTTCAGTGGACATGTGATAATGGAGCAGTCCACCATACAAGGAGAAGAAATTACATCCTTTTTTCAAAATAAAGGACTTAAGTACCTCTCTCTGTTCATCGTCTCAAAGAAAAGTTTGAATGGTTCACAGTTGATGCCGTTCCAGAGCCAAAGACATTTTTGTAGTTTTACTCCATCATAGCTGTGGCCCTAAGCTCGCCCAAGAGGGAGCCTAATGGGCCATTCCCATCTGTACCGGGTCGGCCCTGCCCGGATAGCTCCAGTCGGCCCCAGCCTGGCCCGGTTGATTCCCCACATCCTTGCTTAGATGTGCAGTCATTTTCAGCTTGTAGGTAATCAACATGATAATGAATGACAATGAATTGAGCATGCCTTAAGCCCATGTGGGCTGATTCTACCCACCAATCAGAGGCTTGCTCTAATGGAAGGTGTGAATTTGCTGGGTGTGTTTGCCCTGATCAGCCTGAAGCGGACCACCTCAGAAAGAGGGCTGAAAAACAGTCTTGTTGCACCCTGAAAAAAGGCAGGCCACCAAGATATGTAAGCAAGCTATGCTATCCGGGCCGGGCCGACCAGGTACAGGTGGGAATGGCCCATATAGCCCCATTCCCACCTGTACCGGGTCGGCCCGGGCCGGGTAGCGTAGTGGGCCATTCCCATCTGTACCGGGTCGGCCCGGGCCGGGTAGCGTAGGTTGTTCACATATCTGGGTGGCCTGGAATTTTCCCGGGCCAACCAAGGCTCATTCTCGGCCCTCTTCCCGAGGGGTACTGCTTCAGGCCGACCAGGGCCAACACGCCCACTGCTGACAGCAAATTCACACCTTCCACTAGAGCAAGCCTCTGATTGGTGGGTAGAATCAGCCCATTCACACCTTCCATTAGAGCAAGCCTCTGATTGGTGGGTAGAATCAGCCCACATGGGCTTAAGACAAGGATGTGTGGAATCAACCGGGCCAGGCTGGGGCCGACTGGGGCTACCCGGCCCGGGCCGACCCGGTACAGATGGGAATGGCCCATATGTCTCCTCCCTGTCCGGTCGGCTCATGGGTCCTCGGAAGAACAAAAAATGAATTCAAGGCAACGGGGCTAAAACGCTATTTTCCAATCTGTTTTGCCTCCCTGGATCACACATACGTTGTACCGCAATTTAAACGAAAAGCAATGATGGGGTTTTCAACCACGCCTTTAACATACTTTGAGATTTATCAGCTTGTAAAAGTTTGTAATTAACATGACTACGAGCCAGACGTCGGCACGTCGACACATAATCTCCTCTCCCCCAACGTAGCTGCTGCTTACCAAACGGCCAGATTTAGGGTGGTTCTTTCCTCCTGAAGGAAGGATTTGAAGTTTGCTGAACTTACAGCCATTTTCCCTCCGTTTTTCTCCGTGTCTGGTTTGATGTCGTCACTCTCGTGATGCGCGTTTGTAGTCCTGGACGTATCTTCACTCAAAACCTAAAATAGCCTCATTTACATTCTTTACAAGGTTTTTGTCCCAGTTAGATAGGGTGTCCAAACTTTTCAAGGTGAGGTACAATAATTTGTTTTATAGAGAATTTACTTTTATTTTGACAGTTTTAACCCTCTGGAGGCAGGCGTTGCAGATTTGCAACATTAAAACCTACTTACCTGGTTACTCCACACACGTATTTCATGAACATGTTTTTACTCAGAAGTACCCCTGAAGGACCTAGTTGTTCGTCCTGCTTTCAAAACTTAATTTGAGCCTGAGAGGATTAAAATTAGGCCTAAAATAGACATTTCAATAAAAATCTATTTATAGAAAAGTTTCAACATCCTGCTGGAGAGGACTCTACTATAAAATAAAATGAGGAGGCCGCACTAAATCACTCTGGAAGCCACTATTGGCCCCTGGCCCACACTTTGGACATGGCAAATTATTATGTAAAGGAACTAAATTTAGTCACTGTTATTTATATGTGCAAAAATAATCATCCATGCATGCATTTATTAACTGAAATGACCGACTCTTCACATTTTAAACCCCATAACGCTGATCTGACCATCACTTTCTATGAAATCCATTTCTAATATGTATTCTAAAAAGACTCTAATCAAACCTAAATGTCCCATTTCCCCATATTTCTATGCATGTTGTTTCCTTTAGATCCATTTTTTACCCATCCTGTAATAAATTGTTGGGATGATGTCCCGTCTAACAAAGCGATTAAAACATCTTCTAACCAACGTGTTTCTAACTGTCTCTCTTGTGATTTTATTCTGGGTTGTGCACCTTTCCTGATGGACACAATCAGGTGAAAGTAAGTATGAAGCTTGAGAAGTGGAGCCAATTTGCCTTTAAAATACGAGCATGGATGAGTGTGTGGATCTGCAGCAGGGCATCACTGTTCACTCCTGACATTTTAAAGCCTCTTTTCCAACATTTCTACTCAAGAAAAATCCCAAATTTAGAGTTTTATTGGGCTGATGGGATGCAGACTAAGAAGAGAGACTGAAAACAGAATTTTGGAGTTAGCATGGCTTATGTGTCATGTAGATCAGCTGCACAAACCCATGAAGTTTCCTGCATGATGAATGCTTTGAATTTCCATTTTCATCAACGAAACAAAAATTTTGGTGTACCCGACAGAAACCGATGACAAGATGAGGGCCTTCGCTGAGAAGGTGTTTGCATCGGAGACCAAAGATGAGAACATACGTGATGAAATCTCCATGTTCGATGTGGCTGAGGATTGTCCCATCCTTCACCAGGAGATGGCCCACCATCTGCATGCTGACGATGATGCAGAGAAACGGTCAGATGGAAACACATGTGCTGGTTAATCCACTATATTTGTGAGACTGTTAAACTTCACTTCTGATCAACAGTAAGAGGCTGCAGCGCTTCCGCACCGGAGCCATTCCTGCGGCTGGTCCTCAGGTGGAAGTGGAAGTGGACGCACCAACCTACCTGGAAGTTCCTGAATTCCAAAGAGTGGCTGTCATTGGAGACTATGCTGCTGGGGTACCGTTTGTCATCTTACAAATAATGTAAACATCAAAAGTGCTGATTTCTGGATGTTAGGAAAAAAACAGACGCAGCTAGTTAATGATGTGGTCAGAAGTGAAAAATCTAGATAAACAGCCTTATTTAGTTGTGCAGAAATAATAAAAAAAAGTCTAATTAAATTGGAAACAACACTATGTGGCTGACAACCAGTTTTTAAATGAGACATTTTGTGACCTTTTTTGTAGGTTATGTTAGTTCCATGGTCTACACAAAACACATGTAAGACGTTTTTTGCACTAAATCCCTCTCACATAGAGCACTTTCAGTAGTTTTATTCTTAAATGTTTCAGTACCTTCCTGAATGAGTCATTTCAATGCTCTGTCACTTTAAGAAAACCAGGTGAAGCAGGCCACACCCACCCATTTTCCTTGGGCTTCTAAAAGCTGAGAAGCTCCAGCTCTCGGAGGGTGCAGACGCTTTTTTCCTCCTCTCCTCCATATCTTATCCTCAAGGCCTTTGTCTGTCTCTGTGTGCTGCTGCACAGCTGCTTCTGCATTTTTTTCTGGAAACTGGAAACTGAAATCACTAAAATGGATCTCGTCAGCTGGTCTCTCAACGCGATTGATAAAATTTTTTCAACGATGAGAACGGGAGAAGGGGCTCCCGGATGCCCCTCTGGGACAGACCCAGTTGGTCACATCATGGATTCTTGGAAACAGTGGAACTTGATCTGTCTATCTCAGCTGTCTGTGGAGGACTCTGAAGACGTGTGCATATTCGTGGTGTTGGTGTCAGCTTTCCTGCTCATTGGCCTTGGAGACTTCCTGGCTTACCGGAAAATTAACGAGTTGTCAAGGAATATTGGCCTGATCCCGGAGCTCAGAGATGGTTTGCACCATGCTGTGAATTCACAGACTCAAATAATTGTCGAGATGAATCGTGAGCTTGGAACTTTGGCCGAGATTCATTATTGGCACAAAAGATGGATCTCATCTAGAAGAGAGTGGACAAATCAGCACGGATTGAGATAGATTAATGTCCATTGTTGGGATTTTGAGAGGTTGAGGACCAACAAACTGTAAGATAGAGAGGAACTTATATCTGTCTGGCCTCAAAACAATTTCTAATCGGAATCTGGTGCCCTTGAGCCTGCAAGGCTCCAACGAAAACTCCCCCCTCAGAAGATATGTGGAATGTGCCGTCGCTATGGCAACTCAACTCTGTCTCCTATCCCAGCCTGGGCGGGACTGTGGGAAGGCCGCCGAATCGTTCCAGGGTCACTGCAACCCTCCAAACCTCAATGTTCCTCCCCCATTCACACTGAGGTGGCATGCGCTGCTTGTAGTGGCTGCAGGAACTGAAGTGGGGATAGTCCCAACCCACCACCACACCTAGCGGACACTTATCTTGTGTGCTGTCTGAAGTCTGTTGCATATCTGTCTGAGGTGTTTTTTTTTTGCAGAGCAAAGCTGCCCTCCCGGTGGAGGGTAACTCTGAAGTGCCTTTTTTTCTCTCCACCTGAATTAATCTCTTGTAACCCTCTTATCTCTATTAAGGTAGCGTGACTCGGGTTGCGAATGACCACAGTCACCAATTCTTGTCATGTGTCTTGCCCGTGTATGTCTGATCTCTGAATTGTGTGCACTGAAACTCTAATTTCCCTCTGGGATTAACAAAGTAGCTTTGATTATCCAGGAAGGGCTCGGAGGAGAGCCCAGCAGTAGCTCTGCTCTAGGTGAGAGAATTTCAACAAATTTGTACTCGTTTGTTGCATCATAAATGGGTACATTTATTAAAATGGTTCGTTTCAGGCACAAAATTCCTAAATTCATATACTGGTAGACGACAGATGAATGGGTGTTTATAGAGATAGTAGAGACCCACATGACAGCACAAAGGGATAAAAAAGTGGGGTGAAATGAGCTGTTCCCATTTGTGACATCACAAATGGGGAAAATGAGCATAGAACCACCATTCACCTCTCCAGGCTCGAGGAGCAGCGGCTCTACTCTGAGCCCTCTTAGTTATCTGAGCTTCTCAGCTTACAGCAGCCTGAGTGGTGAGTGGGTGCACGTGGTCAGCTCCAGATTGGTTTTCTAAAACCTGGGGCACACAGAAGACAGATGCACCGCGCCGGTGGAAGTGTTTTGGGAAGTCAACTGGTCACACAGGAAGTGCTTCTTGGAAAGCCACGCAATAAGCCTGGTTTCTGCTTCTCCGTCAGCTCCGCAAGGGACAGACACGCACGGATTGACGGAAGCGTTTTGCTCTTTTACTTCTCCGTCTCCTGGAGAGTGTTGCAAAGCAATTGCCCGGCAGGACCACAGAGGGCGTAGCGCTGTTCTGTGGTATCCTGTCATGTATCCGGTCCAAGATAGTGTGTTTTTATTGTGTTTTTGTGTAAATAAGAGACTTTTAACACGGACATATTTGTCTCTCATTCTCCCACCGCTTCATGCGCTCCCCACCTCTAAACCCACGTTTCCTGTCATTTCCGTCCACAAATAAAACGCTTGCTGCGCATCTTTTCACTCCTCCAGTCACGGGAGAATTAAACGTTCATATTTTTAGAGTTTTTTTGCGAGGCATTCTTCAAGCTTCTCCGTGTCTGCCGCTAGTTAAACTCGGCTCTCTTTGCAATGGCGGCGCTGTAAACAACAGCGGCATCCTGACCAATCACAAGCTTGCGTAATCCGTTTCGTTCGACGGATGTTTAAAAAAGTGGGCTCGACTCCGTACGTACTTGCGTGCCTGCCAGAGCCCTACGCAAGGACGGATAATGGCGTTGCGTGTGCTCCGCACTGACGCAGACGGAGAAGCATAAATCAGGCTATAGTCACAACATCACGCGGGACTTGAGAACAGGAAGTAGTAAGATCAGACTTGCCGCCATGTTTTGAGAGACTCTAATTCATTAAAAATTGGTAAGTACGCTATTTATTAGAATGTTTTAAGATCATTAGTACTTAAAAGTTATCAATACTGCGGCTGGGTTTGTGCCATGAAGCAGTTCCGTGTCGTAATGTCTGTTGTAAAGTACTCCACAATGGTGTAGACAGCTGCGCCGCGGCCGTGCCACGGAGCTTGAAATAGAACTGGCGCCTATCTTCAGCTCTTCGACGTGGACCGGCGCTTCTGGGATGCAGCGTAGCGCTCCCTGTGTAGCGCTGTGTGGGCATGTCTGTCTTCAGTGTGCCCCAGGCCTTAAAGTGACAGAGCTCTGAAATGGCTCATTCTGGAAGGTACTGAAAATGTCAAGAATAAAACTGTTGAAATTACTTTAGGGGAGAGGGATTTGATGTAAAAAATGTCATTGACATGATTTGTATCGATCATAGAAGTATTATGACCTTTAAAAAGTCACAATATGTCTCCTTTAACTGTGTTTTTCGTCCAAACCAGGTGACCATGGATGACTTTGAGCTGGCGTGTAAGGGTCTTTACCGAGCCTTGACCATTAGAGAGAAGTACATGAGGTTGGCCTATCAGCGCTACCCAAGAACAGCCTCCCAGTTCCTGCGTCAAATAGAGGGAGAAAACTTCAAAGTTGAAGATCAGGTGCAGCCAGGTGAGGAGAAGGATGTGACAAACACTGTCCAAAACATGCTTTAAATCCAGACCTATCCTGTGTTTTATTCACGTTTCTTAACCAAATCCTCAGTTTTCACTCCTCCTCCAAAGGGTGGGGAGGACCCTTTTGATGTCGCCACCCTGCCAAAGAATCTGGGCTACGTAGCCCGCATGAAGGATGGCCTTATGTATGTGTACAACGATGCCGCCGCTGCTGACCAACACCAGCCCAAAGATCTGCCCCATCCAGACTACAACACCTTCATCGACGACATGAACTTTCTCATCGCCCTCATTGCACAGGGCCCAACGTGAGTCCTTTCAGGCTGTGCGATCTTCCTGCTGCACGGTCCAAAAATCTCCCAACACAATTTTTCTCCAATATTTCAAAGAATTGTATGCCAGAAGTGTTTGAATGAATAAGATGAGGACCAGATTGTGGACTGGTTTCAGGAACAGTAATGACAAATGCTTTTATTGTCTTTGCTTTGCAGTAAGACATACACTCACCGTCGTCTGAAGTTCCTCATGTCCAAGTTTAATGTTCATGAGATGCTGAATGAGATGGAGGAGATGAAGGAGCTGAAAGTAAACCCTCACAGAGATTTCTACAACTGCAGGAAGGTAAACAAAAACAGTATAAAATGAAAAATGCATAAAATAGGTTAATGCAAAAAAAAATTAAACTCAAGACTGCATTTCTTGTAATAACAGTGAGAAAAAGACAATTTCGCACAATTTCTTCTTAATTTTTTATTCCTTTTCTGTTAATTCTACTGTTTCTCCCTCTTGTGGCCACCGATGGTTAATACATCTACCCAAACATCACTGATCTTCCAGGTGGACACTCACATCCATGCCGCTGCCTGCATGAACCAGAAGCATCTGCTGCGGTTCATCAAGAAGTCCTATCGTGTGGACCAGGATCGCGTGGTGCACAAACTCAAAGGGAAGGAGGTCACCATGAAGGCGCTGTTTGAGTCCCTCAACCTGCATCCCTATGACCTCACCGTGGACTCTCTGGATGTGCACGCTGTAAGTTTCAAAGAGAAAATATTTGGTTATGCTGAAGGAGTGATTTTCATTAGTGGCTCTAAAATGTGGTCAAATTAGAAGAGAACATCTGCCGTCATCAGGATAAATGTTCTTTTATTGGTGTAATCTTTGCAAACTGGTTGATTCCAGCATTAGCGGTCAATAATTTGTATTATCCAAATCTATTTTTGTGTGTTTGTTGTTTTTCTGAAGGGCAGACAAACCTTCCAGCGTTTCGATAAGTTCAACGCCAAGTACAATCCCGTGGGAGCCAGCGAGCTGCGTGATCTGTACCTGAAGACAGAAAATCACATCAATGGAGAATACTTTGCCACCATCATCAAGGTCAGCTCCTTCAAATTTTCTAATTATGACGGGTGCAAAGAAAATAACTTTTACTTTTGTCACAAAGTGACTTCTTTGTTTTCAGAAAACATGAACAATTTTCATGCAGTGTTAATCTAATTTGAACCAATGACACTTTATTTAATATTTCATCTGGAGGAAGATGTCCGGTCAGATCAAAAACACCCAGAATGTATAAAAACATCTCAGTAACACTACTGCGTGTTCAAATTATCACCATTTATATGCTGTTTTATAATTATCATTTCATAAACTTCAAACCCGAAGGGATTCTGAGCTTTTTTAATTTGCTTGTGTTGTTTTATTTTTATTGATCTACAGTAGACTTATGAGCTGTATTTTTACTAGTGTCAGGGAAGCACTTTGGTGGCACATTTGTGTCTGTAAGGTGCTGTATAAATGAAGTTTGAGACGAGTCGAGTTATGTGACCTTCTGTCACTCCAGGAAGTAGCCAGTGACCTGGAGGATGCCAAGTACCAGTATGCTGAGCCCCGCCTGTCCATCTATGGATGTAACCCAAACGAATGGACCAAACTCTCCGGCTGGTTCGTCAAGCACAGAGTTTTCTCCCTCAACCTCAAATGGATGATTCAAATTCCCAGGATCTAGTGAGTTTTCATGTATTACTTTAAGTACCTTAGCTCTACAATCAAAGGCTGTCCTGTGGCATCCACATTCACACAAAAGTTAAATTACAAATCTTATGTTTTAGCTTAATATGCTAAAACTACTTCAAAAGTCTTTAAAAACGGATAAAGCAAACAGAGGATGCTGTGGCAAGTATCTGCAACTCATTCTGCAACGTCTCAAGCCACCTGGCACCTTTGCATTTGTCCTCTTCATCGATTTTAACCCAGCTTTGAAGACACTACAATGACACCTGGGGTGTTTCTCAATGTCATGGCGCCTTGCTTACGAGGACACTGTCCTTCCCTGGTCAAAGAAAATGGTTAAATGGAACAGACTTGCATCACGTGACCGCGGCTTCCATGGCGGTCACGTAACGTCACGTGACACGGGAGATAACGTTATATTTTATACGTATTAGTTTCTATATAAATATATAACGAACCTTTTACTTTTTAAATTGTGTATATGTTTATTAAATTAAATATATAAGTGAGTTACTACCCACTAGCCGCCGAAGCTGCAACTACTAAGCAACTAACCAACGATAGATAACTTCTTTGGATCTAAAAAAACATTTTAAATTAGTTGTCTTTTTGAAAATACTGCGGTGTATTCTCGGTAATTTTTGACCAAAGCTAGGCTACAAGACGCCTCCTGTGTATCCTCGCTCAGCTAGCTAAACTGCTAACAAACGGAGAACACACTCCCCGGTAGAACATGAACATTGGAACACGTCTTGGCGGCTCCTGATGACGTATCTCCTAGGCATCCGGGGCGGAGCCAAGACGTGATCAAGAGGCTCCAAACGCTCAATCTGTCTCCACTCCTCATCCACTGGATTCCCCACTTCCTCAGCAATGGCTCAGTCACTTAATCCACCATAATCACCAACACTGGCGTCCCCCAGGGGTGTGTGCTCAGCCCCTTTACGAACACACTCTACACACCAATGAATGCACCAGCCCCTCACCTGTCACCACATGTTTCAAATACTCAGACAATACTGCCATTCTAGCACTTCTTAAAGACATTAATTTCAGTACTTCATACACAATAAAACAGTTATTTTGGACTCAAACTAGACAATTAACTTACCTTTGAGCAACATTTTATCCAAGTCCATAAACGTTCCGAGCAGAAAAGCTATATTGCCACGAGCTCCGTGTCCCCTTCGCCACCCCACAGCTGCTGAAAGCCTCCACTACAAGGTGCAGGAATGCTGAGTCATGTCCTGCACCTTGTAGTGGAGGCTTAGAGCAATGAATTGTTGTGATGTAGTCCCAAGTCTAAATCAGCTTCTGCAATTCCTTCATGTCACTTATTATTTTCATTTGCTGTCAATGTGATTATTCAGGTCTCCAAAAAAATTGGGATCATTATTGAGTCACTTCCATGACATTTTCCCCATGAAATGCTAGCTGTTACCATTCACTTACATTGTTTATGCTAAGCTAAAGCTAACAGAATACTGCCAGATTGGGAGAGTGACTGAGCTGCTTTCTAAATGCTTTTTCCCACTTATCTAACTCTGCAGGATATGGCAACAGAGTAAATTTCACTTAGGGGTGGAAAATCCCTTTAACAGGTCAAAACACAAATCCTGATCCACAATACTTGCAAATGTGTTGTTCTGCATGCATGGGCGTCGCACCCGTGGGGGATGTGGGGGTTTCAACACCCACACTTTTGTAAAGCTTGCAACGCGCCTGTCTGCATGTGTATTTGTCCACATGGCTTGTTTTTATGCGTCATGCCGGTGTATGTGAAGATGAATTTCCTTCAAGGGGCAACTAAGGTCTATTTATCTAGCTTAGAGGTGATTGGTCTATTTTCTACTTTAGTGACATCTTCAGAGGCAGAAACTTCGTCCCCCACTTTGGCAAAATGTTGGAGAACATTTTCCTTCCAGCGTTCGAGGCCACAATCGACCCAGAGTCCCACCCAGAGCTCAGCATCTTCCTCAAGCATGTGAGTCAGGCAGAAACCACAACTAAACACAGTCATCCAGATTAATTTTGTGACTCATGTTGAACAACTGGCCTGACCACGCTCCAAACACCAAAATAACGTGTCCATTTTCAAAATCATTCATATTTTTGTTTTGTAGGTGACAGGATTTGACAGTGTGGACGATGAGTCCAAACACAGTGGACACATGTTCTCCACCAAGAGTCCTAAACCAGAGGAGTGGGACATCGCCAAGAACCCTTCCTACACCTACTACATCTATTACATGTATGCCAACATTGCCGTTCTCAATCAGCTTCGCAGGTGAGTAGCATCATGAAACCAACTCGTTCCTTCTCAAAATCTCGTCCCTTTAAGTCGTATAAAACCTTTTCATTTGTGGGTTTGTAGACAGAGGGGAATGAACACGTTCCTGTTCAGGCCCCACTGTGGTGAGGCTGGTGCCGTCACGCACTTGCTGGCCGCCTTCATGACTGCTGACAACATCTCCCACGGCCTTAACCTCAAGAAGGTCAGTCGGGATCCAGAACGGCGTGAAATAACACTTCTCAGCCTTTTTCATGACAAGAACACTCGTGCAGCAATCATAGGCTTCAGATATCTACAGGGGAGGTTCTAGACTAACATTAGAGGGGGCCCTGACTGCTTTGTTGGAGAAGCATATTTGTAAGAATACATTAACAACACTGCATTAAGAATTTCAAATTTTAGTGTGTAATCAGCACACATAAAAATTTAAAATCAAACTATTTCGCAAAACATCTGTTGACATCGTAGTTCTCTGTCTCAGTGGCAACATGAATGTAGTTGTCTAAGCATCTCTTTTTCTACTTCGGATCAATGCATTCACATGCTCAAGTTCCACATCTCCCATTTAGCTAAATAATCACAATAAAATCAATATTTATTCAAGCTTAGGCTCCGCCCTCGGCGGTGGCGGGGGGGGGGGGGGGGGGGGGGGCTTGCTGTCAGGGTGGCACTGGCCCACCCTGGACCCCCTCCCCTAGAACTGCCCCTGGATATCTGCAACTGATTAGAAAAACTCGGAAGTGTGTGATTGAGGCACGCTCTCGTTGCTAGTGGTGTTGTCCTTGTCCAAAAGTCCTCTGCAGTTGGACTTTTGAATGAAAATCCTAGGGCAGCCCACTCAAGTTGATTGGTCCCAGTCACGTGACCCGATGCTGTGCTTGAACCATTCAACAAACACTCAGATTAATACCAACATGGAGTAGATAGCTGCTTCTCTAATTCTTGCCACTTTTTACATTAATAATTTTATCATGAGTGTTTTATTAGTTCTTATATTTGCTTATCTCTTAATTAATTTTTTTTCTATCTTACCTTCTGCACCAAAATACCGCAGCAATTTCCTAATGTTGTGACTTGGCACACATATGGCAATAAAAACTTCTGATTCTGATTCTGATTCTAGTTCTTATCTGAGAGCACTAAAAGGTGAGGTCTCTGGGCATTTTGTGTTTTGGCTTTTTGGATTTAGGTCACAGAAATCATCAAGGAGATTTTAAAAATTAATCATTCTTATTTTATTTCTTGTGATTTATTTTTTACAACATGACAAATAACCCAGCTGTGCTTTGACAAATGGTCCCAGATCTTGTAAACTCATCCTTTGTACTTGTGAATCTTTCCCATCCAGAGTCCTGTGCTTCAGTACTTGTACTTCTTGACCCAGATCCCTATCGCCATGTCTCCTCTCAGCAACAACAGTCTGTTCCTGGAATACGCCAAGAACCCCCTGCTGGAGTTTCACCAAAAAGGCCTGGTGGTGTCTCTGTCCACCGACGACCCCATGCAGTTCCACTACACCAAGGTCCGAGTGTGTGGAGATACGATGCAATAACAAATTCTCCACTCTTTATACAGGTGCCGGCCAGTAAATTAGAATATCATCAAAAGGTTGAAAATATTTCAGTAATTCCATTCAAAACGTGAAACTTGTACATTATATTCATGCAATGCACACAGACCAATGTATTTCCGATGTTTATTACGTTTAATTTTGATATTTATAGGTGACAACCAATGAAAACATCAAATCTGGTATCTCAGAAAATTAGAATATTCTAAAGGCCAATGAAAAAATGTTTGTTTCTCTAATGTTGGCCAACTGAAAAGAATGAACATGAAAAGAATGTGCATGTATAGCACTCAATACTTAGTCGGGGCTCCTTTTGCCTCAATAACTGCAGTAATGCGGCGTGGCATGGACTCGATCAGTCTGTGGCACTGCTCAGGTGTTATGAGAGCCCAGGTTGCTCTGATAGTCGTCTTCAGCTCCTCTGCATTGTTGGGTCTAGCGTATTGCATCCTCCGCTTCACAATACCCCATAGATTTTCTATGGGGTTAAGGTCAGGCGAGTTTGCTGGCCAATCAAGGACAGGGATACCATGGTCCTTGAACCAGGTGCTGGTGGTTTTGGCACTGTGTGCAGGTGCCAAGTCCTGTTGAAAGGTGAAGTCTGCATCCCCATAAAGTTGGTCAGCAGCAGGAAGCATGAAGTGCTCTAAAACTTCCTGGTAGACGGCTGCATTGACCCTGGACCTCAGGAAACAGAGTGGGCCAACACCGGCAGATGACATGGCACCCCACACCATCACTGACGGTGGAAACTTTACACTGGACCTCAAGCAACGTGGATTCTGTGCTTCTCCGCTCTTCCTCCAGACTCTGGGTCCTTGATTTCCAAAGGAAATGCAGAACTTGCTTTCATCAGAAAACATAACTTTGGACCACTCAGCATCAGTCCAGTCCTTTTTGTCCTTGGCCCAGGCGAGACGCTTCTTGCGCTGTTTCTTGTTCAAGAGTGGCTTGACACACGGAATGCGACACCTGAATCCCATGTCTTTCATGAGTCTCCTCGTGGTGGTTCTTGAAGCGCTGACTCCAGCTGCAGTCCACTCTTTGTGGATCTCCCCCACATTTTTGAATGGGTATGTCGTCACAATTCTCTGCAGGGTGCGGTTATCCCTAGAGCTTGTACACTTTTTTCTACCACATTTTTTCCGTCCCTTCGCCTGTCTGTTAATGTGCTTGGACACAGAGCTCTGCGAACAGCCAGCTTCTTTAGCAATCACCTTTTGTGTCTTGCCCTCCTTGTGCAAGGTGTCAATGATTGTCTTTTGGACAGCTGTTAAGTCAGAAGTCTTCCCCATGATTGTGGTGCCTTCAAAACAAGACTGAGGGACCTTTTAAAGGCCTTTGCAGGTGTTTTGAGTAAATCAGCTGATTAGAGTGGCAGCAGGTGTCTTCTATATTCAGCCTTTTCAGAATATTCTAATTTTTTGAGATACCAAATTTGGAGTTTTCATTAGTTGTCACTTATGAATATCAAATTTAAATGTAATGAACATTGGAAATACATTGGTCTGTGTGCATTGCATGAATATAATGTACAAGTTTCACGTTTTGAATGGAATTACTGAAATATTTTCAACCTTTTGATGATATTCTAATTTACTGGCCAGCACCTGTAATGACTGTTGTGTGTAGTGTAGATGTTTGAGCTTCAGTTTTTGAGGTCAGAAGCTGGTTGTTGTATTTATGTTGAATGCATTGTATGAATCACACGTTTTAACTTAAAGTTACCGTAAATCCTCTAATACAGGCCCGGGCCTGTGTTTGACTCAAGCTCATCAAGCTCCAGGCCTTTATTGGAAGGAGGACCAGAATTAGAGGCAGGCCTCTATTTCTATTTGAGCAAAATGAACTAATGGTTCGCTGGAGTTTTTGACAATTAAAATTGCGTCCACATTTTCAAAGTTAAACACATTTCTTTTAACAACGGTAGTTTCTGCTTCAGCCCTCTCCCCCCCTCCCCCTGCGCAGCGGCCGCAAACTCACTGATGCGCCTGCAGCCTCTCGGAGTTCCTGCTGCTCTAAACATTAAAATAATTATTTCATTTTCTGTTCCTCACTTCTGATTACCTTCAATGGTGTCTGTTTGTTGCAACCACCAGGTACAAAAACTAACTTGTTTTTATTTGACTATTTTTCTGCCCTGTCTGTTTATTATCTTCCTGCATCTCATCTCAATCCTAAAGAGAAACTGCTACCTGGGTTCATATATATTCACCTTATGAGTTACCTTTGAACTGCAGTTCTAAAAGATCTACTGACCGCAAAAACAGCGGAGTGCCGCTGCTTGGCGGCCGCATCAGTGATCGGTGCGTCACCGGAGGACAAGGTGATGTGCCCCGCTTCACAGCGAAACGCATCAGGTGCAAATAAAAGAATAAAAAAACAAAAAACATTAAAGGAAATGAGCCGACATGAACGATCGCGTGTTAAATTAGTTTTTGAGGTGGTGACACCTGATTTGATAACGTTACTGTGGCCGTGCTCAGGACGCAGAAGTCTGGAGCGCGTCAGCAATCAGAGCTTTGCATGCGCAAGCTGGTTAAGGTTAGGATGGGGGTGAGGGGAAGGTTAAATTGCAAGAGGGTAAATGTCACAATTTGGTTAAATGTCAGTTTTACGGCGGGTGTCAGTACCGACGCTCTGGCACAGCGCATTGCTTCCCGACGCGCAGGAGCTTGTCACCTGCTGACAGCAGGCTGCTGTCTTTTCCGAGGGCTGCATCTTGTCGGCCATTATCACGTGACAGCAACTGGTCGATGACAGGCATAAAAAGTCACTGTAGTGAAGTCGACTAGTGACTAGTTCATACCACCTCTACTGCTCTCCAGAGTGTTCTGCAGCATAATCAGCACGTTCTCTTTGAACTTGATATCAAATTTTCGCCTCCTCTTCGTCTCCGCACCTGCCAAATCGCGTTCTGTCACTGGCAAATCAAAAGTGAGATGGATGACACAACCGCCCCCCCCCCCCGCCCCCCCCCCCCCGTGGTACTTGCTTGTTACCACATTCCTCCCGGCCACAATAAAATACCGGCCATTATTCACCTCCGCCAACTCCGACACCGGCCAAAATATGATACCCGGTCGTTAAATGAATACAGGTCAATATTAGAGGATTTACGGTACTTACACCACACACTCATACATATTGGCTTTTATGTTCACAGGAACCTCTGATGGAGGAGTATGCCATTGCAGCTCAGGTCTTCAAGCTGAGTACTTGCGACATGTGTGAGATTGCCAGAAACAGTGTGCTGCAGAGTGGTTTGTCCCACGAGGTAACAAGCAGTTCATGCTATCATGTTTCTAATTGACTCATCATTTTCTTGTTATTATTTAAAAAGATTATGTTTCATTTCTCTCATACTTGGATTTTGGTTCTCTTGCATGCCTCAGGAGAAAGTCCACTTCCTGGGTTCAGATTACCTGAAAGAAGGTCCGGAAGGCAATGACATCCGTAAGACCAACGTGGCTCAGATCCGAATGGCGTATCGTTTTGAGACACTGTGCTACGAGCTCAATCTCATCAAGGAGGGTTTGAAGGCTGAGTAAACAAAGTAACCTCCAACGGGAAATCATGTGGTCATCACCTTCATGTCAAAGTTTAATTCCAGATGGAGAAACAACTTTAAGCATAAATACAAATAAACTACAAAACACCAAGTTTATTTTCTTTTTTCTTCTTTTGTGTTCATAAAACAACTTTCTAAATTCATCATTCATAAAAAAAACTGTGGTTTAAACAGTAAACAGTTACAGACATTACCATATTTGTGTGTGTGTGTGTGTGTGTGTGTGTGTGTGTGTGTGTGTGTGTGTGTGTGTGTGTGTGTGTGTGTGTGTGTGTGTGTGTGTGTGTACAAACATATATATGTGTGTGTGCGTGTGTGTGTGTGTGTGTGTGTGTGTGTGTGTGCAAACATAGATATATAATACTTATTAATCAAAACAAACGAAAAGCAATGATATCTAGATTGACTTGTGTGGTTGTACAGGTGTCGCAACAGTGATGAAATTTCCCAGTACACTTGAAGGCCGCAGAGTTCATTCAGTGTTGACAGCTGCAGGAGTTGGAGCGGTGACGTCTTCCCTCTTGGAGGCTTGGAGGGACCGACCAAACTTTCTCACAGTCAGACTCAAGTCATGTTCAACCAAACCACATAGAGTACAAAGAGGAAGTTAAAAGAATAAAACTACTACATTGCTAATTGCGAATTGAAGAATTGAAAAAATAATATTTCAAAAAGTCTAGATATTTTCATCATGTTATTGCGTTTGCATCAAAATTAGTCTTTCTTTGAGAGAAAATGTTAAAAAGAGAAGAAAAATGCACTGCTTTTTCATCCAGTGTTATTGCATACATTCCACATACATTGTAAGTTCTACACGTTATATTTTCAGCTAAACTGCAATAAATTGTGTATTTTTATTGACACTTTTAAAGATTCATCATTCACAGTAAACAGTGACTCACGCTTATTTAATTTTTTTCTTGTTTGGGTACATTTTATTTTGAAATTCCTTAGCGGAAGTAGCTTACTCCCTTCCTAGCTTAACGATAATTGTCCAGCGGGAGGACTGGGAGTGATATGGGTCATTTGCGTTTTTCCATCTCTGTCGCCGCTTTTGTAAAGAAGCGGTTGATGTTGTTTACAGGTGTTTGAGTAGGCGAGGCATGTTTACGCCTCTTTAACGTTCGGTTTGTTTATAAAAAATGTTTCCTGGTACTTTTTCTCGTCTGGTTAGCGGCTCCTCACACCAACGTTAGCTTGAACCAAACTTGCCACCTCCTCAGACGACTGGATTTTATCTGTGTTTTGTTGTATTTTCGTCGGTAGGAGAAACGAGTTTCGTTACGAACTACACTGGTAAGTAACGTGATTTGTGGTGAATGGGTATTTTGCCAATGTGGTGTTTTTAAGTCTTAAAACGTTTATTATTCTTAAATTAGCGCAACATTTGGCTGTTTTATTAAGTAATTTGACGTAAATCGGCTACATTTCTTCTTCTACGTTTGTAGAAACAGCCACTATCAACAAGCACTTTCTTTCTGTTGTATTCTATAAATGTATTTTTTTAGCTCCTAAATAACTTATCTATTCTCCAAGATGTATTTTCTACATCTGCAGCAAGAACATTCGACCTTGTGTTCCACAGCTGGCGCATGTAAACCATGTGTTAATGAGTAACCGGCTGCACCTCAGTATGCGGTCATTTTATGGTTGAATTTATAATTATGTGTGTTTTTTTATGCCTGTAATTATGAAAGATAATGAATCTGAGTGACCCAGATGATGCAGCTGTCATGTTAAACGGGTCTTTAGCGGAGTCCTCAGCTAGATCAGGAGTTTCTAGGCACTTTTATCTCGGCTCATCCTTTTATCCTGGCGTGGAGCAAACCAGTAGTTTTCTTTTGATGGCAGCATTAACTGCCGCTGTTGATGAAAAGGTCCCATCTTTACAACGACTCACTTGCAACATGTCCCGTCACGCTGCAGATCCCTGAGAGAGGGCGTGGTTTTGGTGGTTTTTTAAGGCGCAATTACGTTTAATTTAGTTGCCAAGTGATGACTGGGTTCAGGTGAGATTCAAGTGTCTGGTTTCTGTTGGATCAGTTGTTGAGTTTCACACACAGTTGTTTTTCTGCACACCTGGGAGTGTAATAAACAACAGCAAAGCTACATTTTACATTAACTCCTTGCAAATTGCCAGGCACAAGCCTTTTATTTGAATGGTTTCCCATAAAAGCTGTGTTGTAAATGTTACTGTAACTAGCCAGTGGCCTGTATATTTCTGGATTTCATTGCATTTCAAAGGTTTGCTTCCCATCATGAATTTGGAACCTAGAGGATCTAAACATAGCTTACAACCCCCTGCACCATAATTATGGACAAGCAGCTGATCCTTTTTCCTGCAGCTCAGGAAGTGGAACTCACGCCTTCCTGTACAATGTACCACACACACAGATACACGGCACAAGTGGGTCAGTTTGGCAGTTGCATTGTCATCCTGAGGTCTGGTGATGATGGTGCGGCATTCCAGTGCAAAAACGCGTCCGATTTAGGTCAGACCAAACAAAAGAGTTGCTGACTGATCATACCTAGCTGTCTCGACCCTCCTCCTGTACAGATCTGTAGGAATGCAGCTCATATTATGATCGTCTGCTGTGGAATTCTACTACGTCTCTCCAGATACTAGCCTCTCAACGTGCAACGTGTCCCAGTCAGTGGAGCCTTTCTTTGTCCAGCTGTCACACTGACGTTGACTCTCCAGGAATATGAGTCAAGCTGAATTTCAGCACATTTCATTCCTTCACATTTGTTCTTTTGTTCTGCATTCAATCAGAAATAGCTTCTTTACTGATGCACCGCAGATGGACAATAGGTCCAGTTTGATATCTGAGCAACATCTCCTAAATCTCTTAGGTGTGGTTAGTTGATCTCACTCTCGGGTCTTTTATGTATGCCTCATGATTAATTCTTTCTCCAGTTCCCAGGGTTAAATGATTACAATTCACATTCTTCTCTCTGGGTTTACATCAGAGTTGGTGAAAATGAGCATCGAACTTACTGAACTCCTGCTTTTGTTTTGTTATTTTTGAACACTGGGGTGATTTTCTGTGTTTTTTTTAGATATCAACAAAAGCTCTTCTTTTGTCTTCAGTGGGCTGCGGCTGTTTGAGAAGCAAAACTGAGAGAAGTGTTTAGTTTTTTTGGTTGGAATCACAATAAATTGGTACTTTTGACACTTTTGGGCGAAACTTATAGTGGGGCCATGTGACATAATGACAACAGCCGTATGCTGTCATTCACATTTACTTGTCATAATTTAGTCACCAAATGTCTAATTTAATTTCACCCTCATAAAAAAACTAGTTTCGTCACAAACCCGTCCTAAAATTGTTGTGCATTTTTCCACGAGAAGGTTCAAGTGGGTTTCCCAATGCACACTTTAGCTAATCTTTAGAACGCTCTCTATGTGAGCAATGCCAGAGTGAGCGGGAGTAAACTGAGAACCCTCAAACATTTTAAAACAAAGCGTAACTAACAAAGATTTATTTGTGCTTTTTAAAAATATGATGGGTCACATTGAGTTTCACATGCATGCTGAACGTCAGAACATGAAAATAGTTTTTAGCAGCCAAAAGAAACTAGACGGGGAAACGCTCGGGTCAGAAAAGTCACAGATCGACGTCACATTGTAAATTTGCATTCATGGACTCGCCCATATTGGCTCGCGACCGCAGAAGGTTGTATTCGTTTAGCTTCCAGGAGAGAGCAGAGCATGTCTCAGCTAGAAGAAGCTAACCATTAGCATTAGCAACTCCACAGCATGGCAGAATAAATTCAAGCTTTTATTTGGGGAGATAAAATGTCAGCATTGCATTTTTTTACCCAAGAAAGAAGAGCGAACGAGGGCAGCAGAAGAGTCACGTTGCTGTCAGCCAATCAGAGGCAAGATGTTTGCATTTCATGAATATTAATGAGTAAGATGTCCTATCCGGTCGTTTTCTGCCTCCCCCCACTCCTCCAGCTAACATTTACCCCGGGTTTCCACCAGAGCCGTCAGCAGCACGTCTTGCTCGCGTAAGTTGCTGCTTGGCCCTTCCCATGAGACACGTAGCAGCAGGGGAGCAGCTGTCACCGACCGAGCACGAAGTCACACGAGTGACTTCGTCAGTAAACACAACAACAAGCAGGAGAAAACTACAACATGGCTCCAAAAGGTTTGTGTTTTATGTTCTGTCCGTTTTATAATCGCCAATACGGACCTGAAAAACAAAGGAGACCGCTAGCTAGGTGATACCTTCTCACGGGGCCGCACAGTTAGTAACTTTTTTAAAAGTAAAGCAACCAGAAGGCAGTACGTTCTTTATTCTGAAAATCTCGGGAGCTTCTCTCCATTTCCGCGTCCGATTTCCTGTCTTTCCTTCCCCATAAATGTCGAACTTGACCCGTTTCAGAGGCGTCGCGCGTAGAAAATAGAACCGGCGCGTAAAGGCCGCGACATGCTGCTCCTGAGACGCGGCCGACTCGCGCTGCTGACGGCTCCGGTGGAAAAGGTCCTGTTGACCACAGCGGCTCCTATCAGCAGCTATGATGTGCTGCTGCTGCAGTAACGTGCTGCTGACGGCTCCTGTGGAAAGCCGGGGTAATGATGATAAATGACCCGCACTTGTATAGCACCTCTCAGAGTAAGGACTCCAAAGTGCTTTACACTACAGTGTATCATTCATCCATTCACACACACATTCACACACTGGTGATGATGAGCTACGATGTAGCCACAGCTGACCTGGGGCGCACTGACAGAGGCGAGGCTGCCGAGCACAGGCGCCGCCGGTCCCTCCGACCACCACCAGCAGGCAACGTGGGTTAAGTGTCTTGCCCAAGGACACGACGACAGAATTCTCTGTCCGGAGCCGGGATCGAACCTGCAATTACTGGACAACCCGCTCAACCTGTTGAGCTACTGCTGCCCCAATTTACCTCCTGAAACATGAACACCAGAGCTTTTTCTCCTCAGCTACCTTCTGCGTCACTTAATGACCCAAAATGAGTCAACATGTAAAACCCTTTATTAATGAAAGAAGCCATTACTCATTCAAATCTCATAGAATCTGATTTGAGGCTTTACCTTCCAGTTCCATGAAAGACAGCTATTGTCATGAGAGGCGGGGCTTTGTTGTGTTGTTTTTGGGGACCCCCCCCCCCGTCACAGATCTTCTGCAGAAACATGTTACAGTCTTGTTCCTGCTACTGTCCTCAGATCTGTTTTTCTTCCCTGTGCAGCTGCTTTCACACAAGACTGCTTTATCTTTTAATCTGAATAAATGATTATGTTTTCTTTCTTCTGTTCCTTTTTAGATCATTTACTAAATGAGACGAGGAGGAAATGACTCTGCTTGCTCATAGACATGAAAAGTCATTAAAAAGCAAAAAGCTAAGGCGTCCTGTGGATAATCTCTGAACCGAGAAATACCTGATCAAGTGCATTGTGTTGTTGTGAACCCTCTGATGTCGGTGCTCATGGAGACCTGGGGGTGAGCAGAGACCCTCTCACCATGCTGGCTCTGAGGGTGGAGCCAGGCCGGCGAGGGCACGATGAGGGTGATCTCTTGCAGAAGGAAGCCACTGCTGCTTGGCAGGGCCGGCATTCAGGGAGGCCAGCCTCCCAGGAGAAAGGCATTAGCATTAAGGACAAGATCTCCCAGTGGGAGGTCCTCAGTCAGCAGAGCAGCAATCCGGGTGCAGGAGCGAAAGCTCACCCTCCTGCTGTGTCCCGAACTTTCTCAGGAGACCTTCTAGGTAACGGCTATTCCAGCGAGAGCACCAGAGCAGGGCTTTATGCACAAAAGGGCCACTCAAGGACACAAAGCATAGGATTAGACTTTAGGGAATCTCCCGTACGTGCTGCTCTCGGTGTGGTCGGCCGGAAATCCGAACCTGTACAGAAATGTTTCGCTCAATTAGCTTCTAAAATGGAAGAAAACAACAATTGTCCTATCACAGTCTTTTCAGATGTAGAAATAGTCTGTAAACCTCTACCTCAGTCAGCTGACGACCAGGAAGACAACATGCCTGCTGGGAACTTCTACACTTCACGGGGCTTCTGGCGGAAGCTGGAGGGGGATGGGCTGTTCTGGGAGAAGAGCAGGACTTCTGCAGGTGAAGTTCTCCCTCCTCCAAAACCTCAGCGCACCTTCCAGTATCGCGGAGTCAACAGTACAAAAACGGGTCACACAGCTGGGGGGCACGCCGGATCCACTCATGACAACAATCAGAGAAGCAGGAGGACGGCAAAGCCACCGAACTTTCCACCGCCGCCGTGTCCCGTGTCAAGGCATAAAAAGAACAGGTAAGCATGAGAAATCTGTGTGTGTGTGTGTGTGTGTGTGTGTGTGTGTGTGGTGGTAGTGGGGGGGTGGGGGTGGGGTGGGGGGCTATTGTATTGTAATTGCTGATTGGGGTCACATGACCTCAGGCAGCTTTGTTTTCTAGTTAGTTCATCATCAATGATTGTCTCAGACACACACACACACACACACACACACACACACACACACACACACACACACACACACACACACACACACACACACACACACACACACACACACACACACACACACACACGTTAATCAGCTTTATAAGAACCCAGTAGATGTCATTCTTGTGGGTTAGTGAATACCTCCGTGGGGTGAAATATTGCCTCACACCAACCTTAGATGATGAAATAGTTTCTGTTTCTAATCCTAACCAAACAGACTGCTAGCATACCCGTGTGCTGCGCCGTTACATCAGGCAGCTTAAGTAAACTCGATGTGAAATTTCTGACCACATCACAGCCTTTGTATCGTGACAGTTTATCATCCCTGTGCTGTTTATGCAACTTCTGTAGTGAGACGTGTTATCAGACGTGCAACGGCAGTATGTCGCTGGTCTTCACAACAACAGCCAGACCGTTTTTGCTTCTCCGCCACAGGAAGTCCTTCGAGTATGAGGATGCGGCACATCTGACGACCCAGCAGGGCTCTCCGGGAAATGAGGACCAGCAGCCGAGTCTTTACCATGCCTACTCTGATGACAATATTTATGAAGATATCGTGTGTAAGTCTTCCCCCCGTGTGTCAGTTACTCTGGAACACAATAGAGTTGCTCAGAAAGAGATTGTTTTTATTTTTATATGTTTAAACCAAAATAACGGCACCGGTTTCTCCACAAAAACAGGAAGCATCACTCTGAATTAGGGATAGACCAATATATGTTTATGTTTATGTATTTAGCAGACGCTTTTGTCCAAAGCGACTTACAAGGGATAATCGGCATATTGCCCTTGAGGCTAACAACAACAATAACAACAACAACTTGACATCAATCATGGAGAGGAGGGAACAAGGAGTGGACAGTAGAGAGGGTTCGGGTGCAGGGAGGGTGCTAGTTAAGAAGATGCTCTCTGAAGAGCAGGGTCTTCAGGAGTTTCTTGAAATTTGAAAAGGAAGCCCCTGTTCTGGTAGTGCTTGGTAGGTCATTCCACATTTGTGGAACGATGCATGAGAAGAGTCTGGATTGTCCTGAGCGTGGTGTAGGCACTGCTAGCCGACAATCCTGTGATGACCGGAGCGGCCGGGCCGAGACGTAAGCCTTTGCAAGAGGATTCAGGTAGATGGGAGCCGTACCATCTCGGACTTTGTATGCTAATGTTAGCAATTTGAATCTGATGCGTGCTGCTAGCTGTAGCCAGTGGAGCTCAATGAACAGAGGGGTGACGTGTGCTCTTTTTGGCTGATTGAAGACCAGACGCGCCGCTGCGTTCTGGACCATTTGAAGAGGTCTCACAGTACAGCCTGGAAGACCAGTTAGAAGGGCGTTGCAGTAATCGAGGCGGGAGATGACAGTAGATTGCACCAGGAGCTGGGTGGCATGTTGTGTTAGGTATGGTCTGATCTTTCGTATGTTATACAGTGCAAAGCGGCATGAACGGGCAACAGAGGCAACATGATCTTTAAAGGTCAGGTGTTCATCAATCACAACACCCAGATTTCGAACTGCCTTTGAAGGAGCCAGAGATAGGAAGTCATTTTGGATTGAGATATTGTGCTGTATGGATGGTTTTGCTGGGATGAAGTTCAGTTTTAGAGAGGTTGAGTTGGAGATGGTGGGATTTCATCCATTTTCATATGTCAGAGAGACAGTTTGATATTTGTGCAAGCAATATATCCGGTCAATATTTACCTTTTTATATATAAATATGTATGTATAGGTATCATCAGCCAATTTAAAGACAGGCACATCCGTGGGCAGCCCAGGGCTGCAGCAGATTTTTACTTAAATGTATATTTAGGTTCCAGAAAACAACCTCTTATTAAAAGCTCTGAAACGTTGTTTTCAATTAACATTTATTATCATTTTTATGTTTTATATTCAATACTTGGTCAGGTTATGGATGTTTGATTAACTTTGGTTTAATTCCATTGTTATTAGTGACATTTTAGCTTGGAAAACATCTGGAAATCGGCCCAAATGAATCAGCTGTGCATGTCGGCCATCGGCCGACCGCCACCTCTACGCATCGGTATCAGCATTACAAATCCCAAAATGGTCAATATCTACCCTGAATGGCGCTCTAGACTCTATATTATTATGTGTTTTTAAACTATTATCAATTTCTCTTAAACTAAAGCCTCAAACTTCTGTAGTCTACACACATTCATGTAGAGCAGCAGGGGCAAAGCTGAGCTTTTTAGGTGTTTCTTTGACGTGCCCCGCACTTTGCTAAGTACACACACACACACACACACACACACACACACACACACACACACACACACACACACACACACACACACACACACACACACACACACACACACAATCCAGTGGGGTCTTCACATCGACGACGAGACCTCAGCTGTAAGACTGAAGCCTGTGTTACTCGATAGCAGCCATGTGTAGCTAATTTTTTTACTAAGTGCAGCTTCCTTTTTTCTCGGATTTTGCTTTTAAAAATATCTCCAGATTTTCTTTACTCAGTGACACTTTGCACAATAAAAGGGAGGTTATGCTAGTGGAACATTTCTACGGTTTATTCACAGACCAGGATATGAAAAGTCGGTGTCATAGCTCGAGTCACTGAACAAGCAGAAAGCCACGGCATTTGAAGCAGCTAGTCATCATCTGTAATGCTTCCCGTCACGCCTCCTCCTTCCAGGCGAAGGGAGCAGAGACGACTCCTACGAGGATGTCAAGCTGTCTACCATGTGTCTCCCTGTCTTAAGGTCTCACGTCCCGAAGGTGAGGGATAAAATCCCCTCCACATCTTCACATTTCGTTACTTTAGTCATCTCTCACCTGAGATTGAAACTGAGGATTCTCTGTTTTTCACGCACCTCAGCTCTCTCCCAAACTCCAGTCCCTACACGGATATGCTGGCAAAGTGGAGAGGAAGGTGTTCCAGACGTTAGCCGCATCCAAATCTTCAACCATCGCAGATGTTCCCAAACCACCCACACCTCGACACGCCAACACTCAGAAAACCACCCGGACACCTCAGGTATCCAGACGCTCACTTACATGTGTATCTTTTATAAGACCGACATGAAGCCCGAAGCGCTGAGTCATGGTTTTGGTAGGAGAGCGGATATGGGGGTGGTGACTTGTTGAGCAGGAAGGAGAGGATGCTGAAACAAACTGATAGTGACACAAATGCAGGCAGCTCATGAAGCGAGGTTGTTGGTGCAGCTCATGGCTTGGGGAAGCGGAGACAAGCTTAACAACAAGGTAATGAGTCTAACTCTCAGGAATGAAAGTGGGAATAAAGACTAGCTTAGGAGGCGTTAGCTGGTTGGACCAATGCCAGATGTTTATTTTTTGCATTTCATTGTTGTAATGAGGTTTTTCTTTTATAAAATACCGACAAACGCTGCTGCTTCTTAGGTTCGTCTCGTATAACTAAACATGTCTGAACGCCACGATGACACCTTTAGACTGGCGTAGCGCTGTAGAATCACCATATGCTGCTGTCTGATTTTCTACACAGTATGTCAGCAAGATAGAAACCATTTTTGATGACAAGAGTGGCAGAAAGAGAGCAAAGAACCAAGGCATCTCAGTGCGAGGTGAGACTCAAACCTCTTTGAACCTCTTAGGTGTGTTCTTGCTGTGTCGTATCTCTAATTCCATGCTGTAGTTCTTTTTTAAACACAGAGCAGTTTTGTTTCGTTTGCAAACGAAACGTAGCGGGAAAACAGGTAAACAAAACTGCTGTGTTTAAAAAAGAGCTACAGCATGGAATTAGAGACTCAAACCTGTTTTAGATGTCCAAACGTCCCCCACGTCGTCTCCTCAGGATGATAAAAATGAGCCTCCTGCTGGAAATACCCGACGCTCGGGGCAAAGCCACGATTCCAAAACAATCCTCACATGTGGTTACGGCTTCTCATTCCTCACTAATCTTTCTCTCTTGTGGCAGCCGAGGAGACCAGCGGGACAGAGAGTGACCCTGAAGACAACGCCAAAGGTATCAACCTGCTGGTTTTCATTTGGTTTCCTCAAAGTTAAAGACACATTTTTAATTGCAGTCAAATATCTGTTAGAGTGAGATAAAACATAACTTTTTGATTCCATAAATGTATTTTTTCTCACTTTCGAGTGACTCGGCAGGAAGTAACGAAGCTAGTTGTCATCCCAGTACCTGCAGGACTGGATAAAGACGAATAGAACATTTTAACATTGAATGCTTGTAGCTCAAGTGGAAATCTTATTTTTGATTTGGTGACGTGTCGTTGATGCTGAGAAGTCCCCGTCTTTGTGCTGGTTGTGTTTATCTACATTGTCCCTCCTTGTGCTGTTCAGCCGGTTCCAGAAGATCGGTTTACGTCCAGTCCACGCTGAGGCGCCGGCCGGGATACCGCACCCTGGAGAGAGACCTGATCCAGCTGCAGCAGCAGCAGCTCTTTCAGATCTTTGTTGTGGTGTCGCTGAGAAAAGGCTCCTCTGGAAACACGTACTCTCCTGAAATCACACAACAGTTCCCCAAAATGGTTAGAAACCGCCTTTATAAAAGCATAACGGAGCGTTTGTCTTATTATTTAGTCAGAAAGCCGTTTTTCCACTCTTCTGACTTCAGTTAGAGACTTTTTTGGTAAACTTTCTGGAGGATAATTGTTTTCAGATGGGACTGGTGAAGGGGAGTCGCTCATAAATTCTGACAAATAAGGATTTAACTTCAATTTAAATATTAAAAAAACTGTAAAAAGCATTTTCTGGTATTTTTATAGTAAAATATTGACTGATATAATATTTTCTGATGAACTGGAACATTTGGAAAACTGGGCAGGTGTTCTGTTTTGATTTCTGTCTAGTCACTTCCAGTGTCTGGAAACATGATGTGGGGGATTTTTGTGCTGTAGTTGATCAAACTCTTTCCGTTTTCAGTTTGAGAAATCGTCCCGCCTTTCCAGAGAAGCTGAGGATCAGCTGAACGTGATTCCCAAGTTCTGCTTTCCTGATGCTCAGGACTGGAAGCCCTCTGCACAAATGCCAAGGTCAGGCCTGTTTCACACAAGGAGGCTGAAGTCAAACAAGTGATGCTCTTTTTGTTTTCTTTTCCTTCTCTTAGATCGTTCTACCTTTTATGAGTTTTAGAAACGCGATCCCATGTTTTTTCCCCTCTTTGTCGTGTTTCTCGCCTCCTTTTCCTCTTTTTGTCCTCCGCTGTAAACCTTAAATTACCCTGGTTTCCGTTTTGATGAGGTTTGGTTTGTTTGACGTTTTCAGATCCCAACTTTAATGTCTTATTATTCCTCTTTAAGTCTGCTGCAAAACAAAGGAACATTAGCTTCACGTGTTGTAGGCAGTTAGCTTAAACGGGGTTTCTGGTGTTTTTTTACAGCGAGACCTTCTCCTTCGTCCTGACTGGAGAAGACGGGAGTCGCTGGTTTTGTTACTGCCGTAAGATCCTGGTGAGTGTCTGAGTCGTTCCTGTGTGAGATGGCTTGGCAGCTCGCCGCCCGCTTACTGAATGTCTCTGAGGACGGCTGAATCACGGCTCATAAACCAACTCTGAGTGGATGACTGAGACAAACAGGAATTCTGTCATTTTCTTTTCTTTTTGCCTTCGTTTTTAAAGCACCGTTGTTGTGTTGTGCTGCATTTGGTCTTCAGGCCGTCTGTCGTCGTGTTTTAAACTAAACCAGGAGCTGGATGGGTTTGTCATGGTTGTTGGATGAGTCAGCTGTTTCATAAACAGGAACAGAGTTTCCACTCTGCAGCCCAGAGCTGTTTTAAAGCTCATTACGAACGAAAAATGTTGTTTTAGGACCAGATTTAGATTTAAAGCTTTTATTCACTCGTTATTTCAGTACGTTTCCTCTGGTGTGAATGAAAGAGTTGCTTTCTGTGTGTGTGTGTGTGTGTGTGTGTGTGGGGGGGGGGGGGGGGGGGGGCTCTGGCGCTCCTGTTTCAGGGGGATAAAGTTTGATGGAAGAGTGTGGGGTGGGAAATAGTCACGATTATGAGTCTCACCTCCAGCTTTCCACCAGATGCATCGATGCAGCGGCGCGTCCTTCCTACCGATAACGCTTCAGATGCAAATCGGCAGCGAAAGCATTAGAGAGAGTTGGTCCTGCAAGGTCACTAAATCGCAGAAGAATTGTAAGATCACGCGTGATTTCAGCAGCGTACGCAATAACGAGCAAGGAAAACGGTGACAGCGTGGCTCTAAATCGGTCTGTTCTGTTGACCTCGGCCACAGGCTGGATAATTACTTTTTTTTTTTTTTACCAAATAAGTAACTGGAATGCATGGGACTTTTATTTTGAAGGCTTCTCGATGTTTTACACAGTTCTGGTGTTGGACTTCCTGCCTGGCCCAATCTGAGCTGCTCTGCTTAATCTGAAAGCTTGGCGCATAAAAAAATAAACTCGTGTAAATTAGCAGCGCGAGGCAACGCCAGGCTGCTGGATATAACAGACAGAATATAGCAAACAGATAAAAACCGATAAAAGCAAACAAAACCAGCAAAAAAAAGAAAAGATGAAAAATCACAATCTAAAAGCCTCATTACAGAGGTGAGTCTTCAGGCAGGACTTGAAAACACCAATGGGCGGTGAGTGGCGGTGCATTCCAGAGTATGGGCGCTTGATGAAATGAAATTTTGGCAAATGGCAACACGACTCTTCTGCTGCTTTTGTTTGCTCTTCGTTCTCTGATTAAAAAACACAACGTTGATGTTTTATCACAACAAATAAAACAACCCTGGACGTGTCCCGCCATGTTATGGAGTTACTAATGCTAACAGTTAGCTTCTCCTAGCCCAGACGTGACCTTCCCTCTACTTCCTGTGGGCGGTCTCGAGCCAAGGTGGGCACGGCCATGAAAACTAATTTTCCCTGTGATGTGGAAGAGACCAGCTTTTTCTGACCCATCCGTTTCCTTTCTGAGGCTAAAGCAGGTGACGAAGATTAGAGATTTTTCACATTTATCAGCTCAGAGTGACCGATCGGATCTGAAAAACAACAATTATCACACGGATTCTCAGATGGAGACCTTTCAGGTGTTTTTGTTTCGTTCTGCTTCCTGATTTGTGAAACTGTCTGTCTTCAAGCCCAGCGGAAAGGGGAAGAGGCTTCCTGAGGTGCACTGTATCGTCAGCAAGCTGGGCTGTTTTGACCTGTTTGCAAAGGTAACATAACCTTGTAGGACACCTGTTGACAAGTTCCTGCTGTAGGAAGTAAATGGAGTTCTTCTCTAATCCTTTTGGAAAGTCTCTAACTGCGTTTAGGGTAAAGTGAGGCGAGATGAAAGGGTGTGCATGTAATCTACTAGAGAGAAACGTGCAATCATCCTTGTAGGAGTCTCAAATAGTTTAGTCTCGTTTTTTTTTATTTTTTTCCAGATTCTGGAAGAGGTGGAGAGACGTAGAGAAATGTCTGCAGCGCTGGTTTATCCGTTCATGCGTAGTGTGATGGAGGCCCCGTTTCCAGCCCCTGGACGCACAGTCACCGTTAAGAGCTTCCTCCCCGGCTCTGGGAATGAGGTAACGCTGACGTCAGCAGAGGAAATGTTGGTTAAAGGCGGTTCCTCATGACCCTTCAGAATGAGTCGCACCATGTGCAGGAACAACGGGGGGGGGCTTTTGACAAACAGATGTGTCATTCCTATTTAAAACTCTTCCTTATTACTGAAGTTTAGGAGTTAATTTTAAGAGACAACCTGCAGTGAGGTGCTCGTGTTCTGAGTCACGTTCGTTTATTGCAAGCTGACGGCGGTTAAACTTGTTGGTTTTCAGGTTCTGACCTTGTGTCGACCGGTGGACTCCAGACTGGAGCACGTGGACTTCGGCAGTCTGCTGCAGTGCGTCAGTGTGGGGAAGCTCCTGCAGGTGTTCGCCTCCCTGCTGCTGGAGAGGAGGGTCATCTTTGTCGCCGACAAGCTCAGGTGAGGTCTTTGTTCCAGAGACTACTAATTACCCCTCCCCTCCGACTCAGAGTTGTTATTATAACAATCATCTGCGTTACGGGAGGACTTTAGGAACTCTTGTGCTTTTAAATAAACCCGCAGTTTGATGAGATCAGAAACCGAAAGATGAATTTATCAACTTTCTCAGTCGCTGAGTTAGAATTTATTCATTAGTGAAACTGTCCTTCCTTCCTGCAGTGTGTTGTCCAGATGTAGCCACGCGGCGCTAGCCCTGCTGTACCCGTTCACTTGGCAGCACACGTTTGTGCCGGTGCTACCAGCTAGCATGCTGGACATCAGCTGTTCCCCAACACCATTCCTCATCGGGGTGCTGGCCCCGTGCCTGCCGCAGCTGCTGGAGCTGCCCATAGAAGAGGTACATCCGGCTGTAATCTGTAGGAAAAAGATTCAGAACTATTTATCGATCCGGTTCTTCTGTTTATGTTTTACATCTTATCAAGCCTTCTCACGTCGCTCTTAGCTCATTTTTCCCCTACTTGTTTGCCTATTTTTGCTCATTTTAAATATATTTTTAAACATTTTCTAAATGCTTTTTTATATTTTAACATTTTTCTTTGTTTTTGTGAAGCGCCTCGTGATTTTTATCTTAAGAGGCGCTATAGAAATGATATTTTCTTCTTCTTCTTCTTCTAAACAGTGAGCTCAGCTGTTCCCTTCTGTTGTTTTTGTTCCAGGTGCTCATAGTGGATCTGTGTGCAGACCGGTTTGTCGTTCAGGTGTGTACACACAACCGTCCATAATGGAAACAGTAGGTGTGGTCCGACTGGGAGAGCGATAGCTGTGCCTATGCTTGCCCTGTGTTGGGTGGCGTGCTTAAAGCGGGACAAAGAGAGTTCTGCCACAGACGAGTGTCGGTTAGACGACCCCTGACATAGATCGGGAGTTTTTGTTTAACGTGGAGTTGAACTATTTTTGATCTAAATATTAGACCACACATAGCTAGACCCCAAAAGTATTTTAGCTGATCAAATAGGCAAAACTATGGAAGCCCATTCCTGCCACTCTGCTAAAAAAAAATCCCATAATAATGAGATACTGTCTCATTATGACATAGCAAGGTCATGATTATTGGACAAATTTTAAAATTTTTTTAAAGAGTGGCGGTAATGGGCTTCCATAAGAGCCTTCCAAAATAAAAGCTTTTTATTTTTAAAAATGTAAGATCAGATCACAGGTTTTCAAAACTGTCAAATATTGTTTTGGATGATGCAAACGAATGATTTAATTGGGTTTAGTTATAAGAACGTGATTATAACGGGTCACACACGTTCCCAGAAATGAACAGAATGATAGAAAAATGAAAGCGAGAGAGTTTTGAAAGAAGTTAGAACAGGCTGATGACTTTAGAGTGATTGGTTTAGTGAAAAATAATAGTTTTGTCATTTTAAAAAATATATATTAAAGGGGCATTATGGAAGTTTGACAGCCAAAACATGTGTAGAAATAATAAATGTCTTCTTCAGACATTCTCCTGCAATGCCCTGGTCCTGTAGAATGAGCCCTGGCATTTTTACTGTGATTGCCTGTTTTTCTGTAAAATCACAGAAAAAGAGAGATGCTCGGGTCGAGCAGGCTGCTTCATGCACGTTCACGCTCAGGCATAGCCCGTAGCATTTGCTATCCGTAGCTTTAGCAACAGAGAGAGGTAGTGCCAACTCAGCGACTTTGTCGCTGTTCCTAACGCCTAGTGTCAAAGCTAGCTACATTTCTGAGGACCCTTAGCTACTTTCTGTAGAACTTTCTTCTAGATATTTCCTGCAAATTAGCAACAAAATAGCCGTTTTCGCTTCGAACCGTTTTTTGGCTTGACGTTGTTTCAGCTGTCATCAAGGATATAAATGTTACAGATAGTGTTACTGGTGTGTAGCTCACATTGTAAGACGTCTGTCTCCCATACAGAAGATCTGGGTTTGAATCTGGATGTGAACATAGTTTATTTAGAGTTTCTTTTTCACATTAATGTATATTTTTTTACAGTAAGATGCCCAAATTTTTATTTGAGACTCGCCGAACGGCATTGAATTCACAGATAAAAAAGTTGTGGCTTCAACTTTCATTTTGGAACAATTTTTCAAGCAAGGGAAGGGAATGATCTGAGCATGCAGGAGGACTGACCCATCATAAACCTTTGTCGGCTGTGCTGAAGAGAAAGGTACAGAACCAAATTATTTAATTAATTAGCTGCGCGTTCTCCTGTCCTCTGTCCTCCGGGCCACCCACCCACCCACCCACCCACACACACACACACACACACACACACACACACACACACACACACACACACACACACACACACACACACACACACACACACACACACACACACACACGGAACTGTCTCAGCTGTTATTTTCGTTGAGTGTGCACGTACAGCATGCGCGCCTCGTGCACGAGCCTACTATTGAAGCTGCCGTTACGCTTTTGGCCTGAGGGGGCAATCGCGAGCATAAAAATTCAAAACTCCATAAAGTCCCTTTAAAAATAGTGAAATGTGTGCAGTTTTTAACAAAAGTCTAGATTATTAATCTGATTCCTGATTTGTGTCAGCTGGGCGATGAAGACTGCATCCTGCCCAGTAAGCTGCAGGCGGCGCTGCAGCAGATCCTGGAGGACAGAGAGGAGATTCTGAGGCAACAAGACGGCGACTCGAGTGGAGGTCGGTACCGCTGTTTTTAATGTTTAAAGCTGCTATGAAACATTCAGAGGAGTCTTCAGTGTTTTACTCCTCAGTTTTAATCCAATCACCTGAATGTGGCTCTTCCAGACCAGCAGGCCGGCCTGAGCGCCCTGGTGTCGGAGGCTTTTGTCAGGTTTTTCGTGGAGCTGGTTGGCCACTATCCTCACCACATGGTAGAGTCCTCCAACGGAATCAAGGAGCTTCAGCGCGACAATTTCCGCAAATCCCACCCATCTCGCGGAGTCCGGCAGCTCCTGCAGCTCTTCATGGACACCCAGATGTTTGCCGGTTTCATTCAGGACAAAGAGCTGCGCAAGGGAGGAGGAAGAGGTGGATAAAAGCTGAATTTGTCTAATATTGTCCTGTAGGAAGTCCGTTTTAATAGTGCAAACGTTAATCTACCTGTCTCTGTGATTTAGATAATAAAACTTGAAATGAAGGGAAAATGCAAACCAGGCAGAGAAAATGAGGTTTTACTTGGATTAATCTGTGAGAATAAATGCTGGAATCTGAGTTTTTACACATATAAACAGACTTAAAAAAATAATTTCAAAGTAAACTGATACTTTAATGTCCTATGATAATAATGATAATTAAATAAATGAAAATGTTTTAGGAGAACGTTTTAAATGGTTTCTTTTTTCCTCTCAGGGCTTTTTGAAACGCGAGCAGCTGCGTATCTGGATTCATACCCAGAGTCTGAGCCATGCGGGGTGAACAAATTCCTCAAGGGACTGGGTAAGAGTCGCTCTCTTGGACCTCAAACGGTCGCCTTCTAAAGGTTAATTGTTCTTTTTTCTGTTAGGAAACAAGATGAAGCTGCTGCAGATTAAATAAAAAAGATCTTAAGAAGAAAACGCAGCGCGTGTTTCTGCTGGAGGGAATAGAAGTGGATGCATGTGGACCATAAGGAGTTTTAAGGCAACCATCATCGTAATTCCCTGCACTTCCTACTGGATGGAAACTGGGAAGAGTTTAGTCTTCTGGAGCTTTGAGAGTGGACGCAACGTTCCAGCTACCGAGGTTCTCACCTGACCTGTTTACGATCATCTCAACGGTTTACCTGGTTTCGCATCAGGCTTGTATAAATGATGAATATTATGGTTCCAACCTTGAGGACGTTTTTATACTTTAACAGTGTTTTTATTATTTTCATCTCCTTTTCTCCTTGTTTACATTTCAGAGTTCATTAAGTCCGACTAGAATCTCAAATGGGTTTTTTTTTGTGTAAAAACACATTTTTTGTCTGAGTTATTTGTAATCAACTTGTTTACTAGATTTTCTTAAATATTCTTTTAAATTTGCACATGTTCAGAACCATTGTACAGTATTTGTAATTTTTTAAATAAAGCATGAAATGTCCTGAATGCGTTTTGTTTTCCAAAGACTGTTTAGTGAGCGCTGCATGGTGGCGCTGTGGAGAAGGTTGCAAGTTTGAAACCCCACTTTTTGTGTGTTCTCTCCCCTCGTGCAGTTTTCCTCTTAACCAGCTCCCCGACACCCTGCTGAGAAATAAGCAGTTCAGTAAATTTAGATGGAGCCCTTAACCTTTGTATGTGTCTGCAGGGTTAAAGTCTCGGTGGCATCTTGCATCATTCTGGTTTTATTTAAAGCGAAACTTCCAACTTCAGTTATTTTTGTGGGGAAAAAAAAAACATTCCCCCTACTGCTGAAATATCTCACAAGTCAAACAAATACTACGTACAAGTGTCTACTTTTCCTTCAAACGTCCCGTCGGGGAGGATAGATTTGATTGTGCAAGAGTTAAATCCATCACCACTGTGGTCACATGGGGGCGCTGTCTCCACAGGCGGAAGTGTCATAACCACACAGAATAGACTTTATTGGTCCACGGTGGGGAAATTCACTTGTTTCAGCAGCATCAACACTTAGGGAATAATTAGAAGAAAAATAATTGAAGTACATGTAAATACGCATAGGCAGTACAAACCACGAGTAGAAATGAAACTTAGGTTCCAGAAGTATGCAGCATGTAAGGAACACAGACCTACTAATACATCAGATCCATTATGTTTTTATTTATTATGGACAAACGTACCAAGCTGGACATGGAAAAAAAAGTTTTGGTAAAGCTTCCTTTTACAGTCCCCTAATTACTTAATACTTACATGGTGATTACATAGCAAGTTAAAGTATATTACTGTGTAATTAAAGTGTAATTATTGTGTACAGCAGTATATCCTGGGAATGATTAAGAAAAATGAAAACTAGAATTGAACCTGAGTTACATGGTAATAACTGTTAAAAAACTCAGAAACAATAATACACTTACTATGTAATTACCATGTAAGTACTTCGTAAATAGGGGACTGTAAAAGGCGTAACCAAAGTTTTTTCTCATTAAAGTTCTGGGTTATTTTCACTTCAACATTTGTTGTTTCAGCATTTAGAACCAGGGCCGTTTCAGGGCATTTGGGGGCCCAAGGCAAGATGGACTTCTGGGGTCTAAGCCCCCCCCCCCCCCCATGAAAATGAACCTTGAAACTAACTCTCCCCCAACTGTTTATTTCACCTTTTTTTTTTGTCCTGACAAAAACTATTGATTAGTTGAAAATGAGCAGCATTTATTCATTTATTTGTTGGGTTTTAGATTTACGTCTTGAACAATGATGAATGTATGATTTAAGGGAACGCAAACAAGATCTGTTAAAGTGGGGGAGGTCTACCGTGAAGGGGACTTGACCCCTTCAATGGAATCAATTTGAAATTTCACATAAAATTTATACACGAAGTTCATTTAAAGGCTAAAAAAGTCATTCAGCGCACTCGTGAAATTCGTTCTACAGGGCGAATAATCAAAGTCAAACAAAATCTTGTGCTGCGGACCTTCATAAAAACACAAAGAAAATCACTGCCTAGTTACATAAGATGTACAACCTAGCATCTGGTAACAGAAACCACAATTTATCCTTTTGATTTTGGTATTTTCATGATGTCACCGCGATGCCATGCCTGAATTGATGCTCGCAGCGGAAACTGTTTACATTTCTGCGACGGGAACAGACTAAACTACCTGTAGGAGTGATTCTCTCACACTGATTGTGATGTCTTATCTAAATTTAATTATAAATTATTACCAATATCATTATATAATATTATATATAGGTTATAACAGGGTCATTGGTGACTCAAATTTTTAAATATTCAGTGATTATTGTTAAATTGAACAACTCACTTTTTGCTTTTGTATCTTGTTTTTGACAAAAAAATCAATTTTCATCACCAGGATTACTTTCTCGGCCTTTCTGAGCAATAAAAGTCCAGGTTTTTATTACATAAACCCCCCAGGAGACATGAGTAGACTCCCGAGCTCACAGAAGCACAGATTTTGTTGCTCAGAGTGAGAAAAGTTTACATTTTTTATCAACGGAAACATGCAAAACTTTCAGTGAACTCCCTCAGACCAGGGGCGATTGTAACAAAATCACCAAAGCTGCAACTTTTTATTCGTTTCTCCTCAGAAAAATCGAGTTGCCTCTTTTGTCAGTAGGCAGCTAGGAGATTCAGTAACTTTTTTAGAAAGACAAGATTAAGATGCTTTTAGTTGCAGTGCAACTAAAGAGTGGAAAGAAAAATAAGACTTCATTTGCTTTGCAAGAATGGCTGTTTCATGGTTGAATTGTTGAGATTCAGAATGCACCTTTAAAGTAAAGCCATTGTAAATCCTATACATGTAAGATTATGGCCTGGCCTTGACCAATAGAAAGAGCTTGGTTGTGGGACTGAGTCTATGCATGTCTTTCAAACTGTCTCGGCACCTAATTGGGACCATACTAGGACCAATCAGAGCAACAAACAGCGTGACGTATTTATCGCTACAGAAATCAGTCAACAGGGCAGTCCGCCATACACCATCAAAGCAAATACATACTTTTTCCAAGACTTAAAGGGGCATTATGGAAGTTTGACAGCCAAAACTTGTATAGAAATAATAAATTTCTTCTTCATACATTCTCCTGCAATGCCCTGGTCCTGTAGAATGAGCCCTGGCATTTTTACTGTGATTGCCTGTTTTTCTGTAAAATCACAGAAAAAGAGAGATGCTCGGGTCGAGCAGGCTGCTTCATGCGCGTTCACGCTCAGGCATAACCCGTAGCATTTGCTATCCGTAGCTTTACCAGAGAGACAGACAGTGTGACTTTGTCGCTGTTCCTAACGCCTAGTGACAAAGCTAGCTACATTTCTGAGGACCCTTAGCTACTTTCTGTAGAACTTTCTTCTAGATGTTTCCTGCAAATTAGCAACAAAATAGCCATTTTCGCTTCGAATCGCTCTGAACATTGTTTCAGCTGTCATCAAGGTTATAAATGTTACAGATACAATGGGCGTCATTGGTGCTTTAGCTCACCTTGTAAGATGTTGGACTCTTACACAGAAGTCCTGGGTTTGATTCTGGGTGTGAACATAGTTCATGTAGAGTTTCTTTTTTACATTAATGATATATTTTTTTTACAGTAAGATGCCCAATTTTTTATTTGAGACTCGCCGAACGGCATTGAATTCACAGATAAAAAAGATGTGGGTTCAACTTTCATTTTGGAACAATTTTTCAAGCAAGGGAAGGGAATGATCTGAGTCCCTCTAATACAGGCCTGGGCCTGTATTTGACTCAAGCTCATCAAGCTCCAGGCCTTTATTGGAAGGAGGACCAGAATTAGAGGCAGGCCTCAATTTCTATTTGAGCAAAATGAACTAATGGTTTGCTGGAGTTATTGACAATTAAAATTGCGCCCACATTTTCAAAGTTAAACACATTTCTTTTAACAACGATAGTTTCTGCTTCAGCCCTCTCCCCCCTCCCCCTGCGCAGCGGCCGCAAACCCACTGATGCGCCTGCAGCCTCTCGGAGTTCCTGCTGCTCTAAACATTAAAATAATTATTTCATTTTCTGTTCCTCACTTCTGATTACCTTCAATGGTGTCTGTTTGTTGCAACCACCAGGTACAAAAACTAACTTGTTTTTATTTGACTATTTTTCTGTCCTGCCTGTTTATTATCTTCCTGCATCTCCTCTCAATCCTAAAGAAAAACTGCTACCTGGGTTCATATATATTCACCTCATGAGTTACCTTTGAACTGCAGTTCTAAAAGATCTACCGACCGCAAAAACAGCAGAGTGCTCGCTGGCCACATCAGTTAGGTGCATCACCGAAGACAAAACAGGTGATGCGCCCCGATCCACAGCAGCGAAACGCATCAGGCACAAATAAAAGAATAAAAGACAGAAAACATCAAAGGACATGAGCCGACATGAACGATCGCGTGTTAAATTAGTCTTTGAGGTGGCGACACCTGATTTGATAATGTTACTGTGGATCAGGATGCAGATGTCTGAAACGCGTCAACAATCAGAGCTTTGCATGCGCAAGCTGGTTAAGGTTAGATGGGGGTGAGGGGAAGGTTAAATTGCAAGAGGGTAAACGTCACAATTTGTTTAAATGTCCGTTTTAAGGCGGGTGTCAGTACCGACGCTCTGGCACAGCGCGTTGCCTCCCGACGCGCAGGAGCTTGTCACCTGCTGATAGCAGGCTGCTGTCTTTTCCGAGGACTGCATCTTGTCGGTCATTATCACGTGACAGCGACTAGTCGATGACAGGCATAAAAGTCACTATAGAGCGGTGAAGTCGACTAGTGACTAGTTCATACAACCCCTACTACTGCTCCCCAGAGTGTTCTGCAGCATAATCAGCACGTTCTCTTTGAACTTGATATCAAAGTTTCGCCTCCTCTTCGTCTCCGCACGGTTAAAGTTACCCTCGCGGTCTATCACTGGCAAATCAAAAGTGAAACGGATGACACAACCGCCCCCCGTACTTGCTTGTTACCACATTCCACCTGGCCACAATAAAAAACCAGCCATTATTCACCTCCGCCGACTCAGACACCGGCCAAAATATGATACTCGGCAGTTAATTAAATACAGGCTAATATTAGAGGATTTATGGTAATTAGCTGCACGTTCTCCTGTTCTCTGTCTTCCTGGACACACACACACACACACACACACACACACACACACACACACACACACACACACACACACACACACACACACACACACACACACACACACACACACACACACACACACACACACACACACACAGGACTGTCTCAGCTGTTATTTTCGTTAAGGAGTGTGCACGTACAGCATGCGCGCCTCGTGCACGAGCCTACTATTGAAGCTGCCGTTACGCTTTTGGCCTGAGGGGGCAATCGCGAGCATAAAAATTCAAAACTCCGTAAAGTCCCTTTAAGCACCTGATGTCTCAAAGAAAGGCCCAACTCTAAATCGTCCATAGACGCAAAAGCCGTTTCTTATGAGCTCCACTCCTGAGCTA